TCCCTCCCTCTCCCTCCCTCTCCTCGCAACCCCTCAGCCGTCCGTGCGCGCGTACCGGACCGTTTCTGCTTCTTTGCCCTCGTCCTCCCCAAACGTTTTCAATGTCACGAGTCTCTCCGTCTCTCTTGTCCGGCCAGCAGCGGGATGGTTGCGCGCGTGGCGGGGGCCGCTCAGAAATGACGAACGAAATAGCGAAAAGGTTTTCCCCGTACGGCTCGAGCAAGGGGGCGAGAGGGACGTGCCCTCTGCGCCCCTGTGCCTTGACCCGGCTGACCCCTCTCTCTCTGACCCCAGAGGGGTCTCGTCGTGTCGGTCTGCTGGATCGGACTGCAAGCTCGTCTCTCGCACGGCGCGTCGACGTGGAGAGAAATAAAAGTATGAGACCACCGCCGCCTCCCTCTCTCTCTGCCGGTGGGAAGGTCTGAGGCCGCGCCCTCTGTCCAAGGCCGCCCCGCCCCGCCCGGTCTGCGGGCGGCAGTCGAGGGCCCAACAGGAGAAAGCAGCCAGCAGCAGGAGGCGTTTGCCGTTCCCAGCCGCCTCCCCCCCCCCTCGCTTTCCTCCCCGCACTGCGCTCGTGTTTTCTCGATCCACATTTTCTGACGGATTGTCATGTCAGGGATGAAAACGCCCCGAGGTAAGCCTTTAGTGTCGGGCGTCGGCCCGGAGGAGGAGGGCGGGGCGCGGCGGGGCCGCTGTCACGGTCGAGAAACGGATAGGCGGGGGTCTGGAGGGAGGGGAGGGGCACTGATACGGGGTACAAATGCGTGCCATCGCAGACCATTGGATATTTTTTAGGTATATATTAGTCTTTTAACATAGACGTATTCATTTCTTTAAAAAAATATTTGCTCCAATTTCTTAGAGATCTGCTGTTTTGATATTTTTGATTTTGCCGAAAGTCTTCAGCGGCTTCGGGGTTTTCTATGAAATACTGGTTTGGGGGTTTGTCGCTTGCTTGAAGTGGTTTCCACGGGTTTCCAGCCATTTCTACTTGCAAGTCCGTGCGGAGTGGGGCTCGTCTGCGGGGGTTGGAAAATTTGCGCCGAAGGCTGTCTGGCGTCACGACAAACGCTGTGCTTGGCCAGCCGGAATGGAAGGGCCGCGTCTCCTCGGGCTCACGCCGCCGCACCGCGGACGCGCTCCGAACGCAGCCCTGGGGCGCGTAAAATGCTTGCCTTGCCGCGGCGTCGTCGGTGGCGTCGTCGGCGTCCACTTTGATGCGGGCTGATGCCTAAAAGCAGTGTGCGTCGCGACGCTGGCGTGGGAGGGGGCGGGGTTCTTGGGAGGGAGCGTCTAGCCGGGGCGCTTTCATGTGCAACCCCCCCAGGCGGGTTTATTTTCCCCCTTCATCCGCCCTCTTCCGTGCACCCCCCCTTGCTCAGCGTTGTGTTGTGGAAGGGCGGCGTCGCCGACGCCACCCTCTACTACAAATGTTAAAAAAAATACAATGCAACGTTAAGTGCGATACTACATGTAAACTGATAAGTGTGATAGAGTAATTTAATCTTCAATGTTGGAGCGCTATACATTCAGCGTTTCACCGGTTATAGGTAACTAAACGAAAATAAATTTAAAAAGTTCCACTTTTTTTGTTGCATGGGCACTCTTTAATTTAAGTGCACTCAGTCCAATGCCAAGGGAAGCACTTTATCTTGTGCTAAAGTTGGTTTCGCACAGTGAACTTTACTCGCACCTTTGTGCGTTACCGGTCCATCGCCCTCTCGATCGCGTGAAACGACAATGCCACTTATGGAGAAGACGGCTCGAGATGACAAAGAAACAAAAACAAACGGTGGAGGGAGAAGAGAAAGTCGTGCTGGAAAGGGAAAGAGGGATAGACAGATAGACAGAGTGAGTGAGATAGAGACAGAGAGAGGGTTGGCGAAGGCGGTGAGAAACAAAGACACTTGATTGGGTCTCGGTTTCACGGCGAGAGAGTCTCGAACCCAAATCCGACTCAGTCGCACTCGGGCACGCTATGCGGATGCAGGAAATCAAAGGGAGATTTCGCCCGCCAGCTCGAGATTGCGAATCAATTTGGAATACGCCATCCCCCC